GATCCAAGAAACTAATCTCCTCTAAAAGAGAGTCCATCTTTTCTTTGAAAACTACAGAATGATCCTTCTTCCAAACAAGGAGCTTATGTTTGATACTAACGAATTTCCTATGGAGCTGGAAGTCCAGAGAGCCAAAAGACACAGAGTTGAGCCAAGTGGAGTTGATGAGGTCAACAATAGACCTATCATCCAACCAACCCAATTCAAGTCTAAAAGGTCTAGGGCAACTATAAACCTTATCAATGGACAGCAGAAGAGGGGTATGGTCAGAGGAAATGCGCAGCAGGGCTTTGACTGAAACCAAAGGGAAGAAATCTGCCCAATCCGAAGAGACCAAATTATAGGCAAGTCCAAAAGCGAAAGATGCCCGATAAAGCTATTAAAAAGATGCATAGAAGAATTGATGGAAGGAGCAGTTGAGCTTTAATATGGATACCTAATAAGATAAAAGTCCCCCCCAATGCAAACAGGAAAATCAAAATTGCAAACCACGGAGGCCACATCATTGAGAAAAGGCTCTTTAGAGGCAGAATCAAGAGGTCCATAGACATTCAAGAGCCCCCAAGAAAAGGCAGGGGTCGAGCCCTGAACCCAAGAAGCAAAGGTGATGGTCACAAAACATTGCAGGATTGAAGGGTCCCACAGGACCCACAAACCACCCAATGCCCCAATAGCATTAATACCGTAGAAAGAAACAACACCCGAGCCCCAAACCTCCTGAGCACCAGCAAGACCTGGACTCGTCAGTTTGGTTTCTTGAAGGATTAACACCCAATGTTTAAATTTTGAAACAAAAAATAAAACATCATTTTTCCTAGTAGGGTTACCCAAACCCCGGACATTCCAAGATAAAATATGCATTTCAAGGGGAAGAAGAGGAAGAAGAACCTTGGCCGACCCAAGCAGCGGTATTAGGGAAATGATCCACAAGTAGGGCCTCAGCATCAACGAAAGAAGGGGCAGGAACATCCGAAAGGTCGATGACGAATGGAGCCTTGCCAAGAGCCTGAGAAGAGGATGTTGTTTTTTTCATAATCCCAAGAGCTTCCAAGCGGGCAGATGATCTGGTACCGGCAGCGATAGGGTACTTCTTCTTCACAATGGGAGTTGCGGCATCTACCGAAAGATCAACAGGAGGAGGCGGAGACTTGGCAGACCTAGAGCCAAGGACCCTCGAGGACCTCGCTTTCTTAAGACGCTTGAATTCATCATAAAAGACCCCAATGGGAACATGAAAGTCCAAACCCATATCCCTGGCCATGGCAGCAATCTCCCCTTCCCCAAGGACTTCAGAAGGGGCAAAGTCATAGGGGAGAGGAGGTATGGGTATTGTCAAGAGCCAACAGAGACCTCTGAAACCCAAGGATCAACCTAGAGTCCGAAGAAAGGGGAACCGCATGCTCAGCAACCACCAAGGCACACAGGGGCGGAGGTAGAACCATCAGAACCACCCACAGTCACCGAGAGAGGCATCACGTCACAAGGCCCGTCATTCTCCAGGATGATGACCAACTGGGTAGGCGGTTCAATTTTGAGCAGATCAAATTTCGACCTAGGCTTGGGGCCCCATCCCTTGAAAGCATGACAATGGAAGGAGAGAAGATACATAGCTCGACAATGAAACATGAAACAGGCAAAGAGGAAGAAAATGGTGGCAGAGTCACAGATCGCCGCAGAGAAGAAGTCTTGTTTCACCAGAGGAGAAGCCCAAATAGGTAACCATTTACCAGAAGACACAGGAGAGAGGGGTTGAAGCGCGAAGAGGAAGGCGGCATGCATTGATGAGGCAGGGAAAAAAGAAGTAACGTCAGGGGGGCGTCTGACGAAGGCAGCACAAAAAGTTCGTCCTTGGGAGAGACCAAATCTTCCACGTGGATAGTGCCATCACAAAGGTTTTGAGAACTCAAGGGACCACCATAACAAGGAAGACCCCGAGGGAAGGCAACATAATCATCACGAGAAGAAACCGACGGAACCACCAGAGGTGGAACGACGTGGGTGGAAAACCCGCAAGTCCAAGCTGGAAACCGACCAATCGAGACCCACCTTTTTGAAATTTTGAACCAAGGTGGGGAAGTCGTGGGCGCACTAGACGCAGTCCTCTGAGGTTTCCATATACAATTGTGTCGACGTAGACCAAGGCGAGACTGGTCGACAGGGGTAGCAACATAATCAACTTTCCAGTGAAAAACCACCTACCAGTCATCGTCATTTACATGAACGGGTAACGGAGGATGAACCTCAGCCACACGGTCCTTATGAATTTAGAATGACGTCCTACTCAGCCTATCAAGAGTCAACCGTATGGCGAAGAAAGAACCATCAACTAAGAGCTTGACAATCTCCGGAAGGGAGAAGTCAAGAGCAATCCAGAGTTTCACACAAACAAAACTACAGTCTTTACTAACAAAAGAGGTCAAATCTAAGTCACAGAACACCCCATAACGGGAAAGAACCATTTTAATGATCTCCAGTTTCCAAACGTGCAAGAGGAAACCCCACAAACAAATCCAAACCAACTTCTAGCCATGGAAAGAGGAATGATCTGAAGGTTTCCAACGCTCAAGGGAGAGATGTGAACTACGAAACCTGCATAAGCGGTTACGTAAAACCATGGAGACATCTTCAAAAGATTTGAGCTTGAAAACTACCTTGTTGCCTCCAATAGCTTTGACATCAGGAATATAAGATAGGTTCCATCCGCTTCTCCCCCAATCTTCCAAACCAAAGAAATCATTCAATGGAGGAGAAAAGGAACCTGTGATGAACAGATTGGGGGGGACATCCATTAGCCCCAAGCACTCTCTATCAACATAGACTGACGAAGCTACAAACGCCCCATCGTACTTTCCTTCATACCTTCAATCTTTCCATTTGCAACCCCCTCACAACTCATATTCTCTAGCCTCTGCAACCTTGTCATCATTCTCCTCTCCAAAGAGGAGATCTTCCCTTGAAGTTTCAAAATTTTTTTGCCAAAAGTTTCAAATGTTTCAAATAACGTTGTTGTTAACTTTCGATTTTTCATAGCTAAAATTCCGTTCTCTAATTTACTTCTTTAATATGTGAAAATTCTAGCAACAAATGGTCATTGAGAATTTAAAACTGTGGATTTGCAAATAAAAATGTGAAAACATATTGTAAATTTGTTGAAAAAGAGAATCGCAATGCTGAGTTAAACCATTGGGTGAGGTTTGTATAAGGTGTTAAACCTCATGCTGTTGAAATAAGGTGAACCTCAAAACTATGCCAAAAATGTAGTTTTGGTGTCATAAAGCCTTACAATGATATGAAAATTTATTATTGCTCTTAATTATGAAATTTAAAATTATAGAAATGGTGATGATCAAGCAGATCTATAAATATTTGAAAATCTTGAAAATTAATGGTCTAGATAATGTGTTAGAAGATGAACTATTTTTAAGGCAAGAACTCCCATTTTTTTCATGCTCATGAATTTCGAGATTGAGATAACCGATTTGAGGGTTTCTAGAATAAAAATAAGCTTCTCTAGTGGGTTTTTTAGATGTACCTTACTTGTACTGTATGAGGTTGACACCATGCATAAACCTTTTCCTAAGCTATTTATTTCTTTTTCCTTGTTTTTTTAATTTATGTTTCAGAGGGGTACTCAAGGTCATTTAGAAATTTTTGATGGGCACTGTCGTGATTTGCCACTGAGTTATTCCCTGTCGTAACTCGTAACTAACCACGGTTCATTAAGGAGGTAAAAGCACGGCTTAACCCGGGTTAAGGCACGAGTATAAATAAATTCCATGGACGTGGTGCTGCCGTTTTGCAGTACCAGACACAAAACTGAGCGGGAATAGAGAGAGAGAGAGAGAGAGAGAGAGATTAGAGAGAGAAGAGTGAGTTAACGAGAGGAGAGAGATTAGAGAGAGAAGAGTAGAGTAACGGAGAGAGAGAGAGAGAGAGAGTAGTAGTAGTTAGTTAGTACGTTACGTTAGTTACGTAGTTACGTAGTACGTAGTACGTAGTAGTACGTACGTACG